TGGGTGACGTGATTTATCAGAGCATCCATAAACCTGTTTGCTCTGACCGTTGGAGGCATGCTGAGCCTGTCTGACTCTGTAGCAAGATGGCTCTCAGCTCAAAATCTGTATCAGTCAGCTATGGCTGCGTAACAAAGGACCACAAACTCAGAAACTAGAATCAAGACACATTTGTCATCCCCCAGTTTCTGTGGGTCAGGACTCTGGACATGGCTTGGCTGGTCTTCTGTGCAGGGTCTCAAGAAGCTGTGGTCAGAGTGCTGGCCGGGCTGCGGTCTCATCTGAAGGGCGGACTGGGGAAGGACCTGCTGCTGAGCTCACGGGGCTGTCGGCAGCACTCAGGTCTCTGTGGTTGCAGGACCGAGGGGCTCGGCTGGTCACTGGCTGTCGACTGGAGCTGCCCTCAGCTCCCTGTTGCATGGGTGTCCCCCTGGGGCCGCTTGCAACATTGGGTGTCATCGGGCGTGAGGAGGCTGTGTGTGTGTGCTTCTGTGCACGCTGGGACTGAACTCTGTGTGTATGTGTGCATGTGAGAGAGACAGGCCACATGGCTGTAAGTTGTGTGACCATGTGGGACTCTATGTTTCTGTCCATCTTGGTCACAGCATGGATGTTTTCTGTGTTCCTGTGACGTCACTCCACTAATGTTTACTGGGCACACTATAAGAGAGAGGGATTGTGTGTGTGTGTTGGGGGTCACTGCCCGGCACGTGGACAGGCCTACAGAAGAGCAGTAGCATCCTGTCTGAGCACAGCTGAGCCCTCTTATCCTGTGGGGGGCCCAGGGCCCCCCAGCAGCTGGTGATGCCCTTTCCCTGCTCTGGGAGTGCTTCCTGGGCCTTGAAGGTGCCGGAGAGCGTGGGGCTGGGCAGGGGTCTGCAGCCCTTTCTCAGGGACACACCCTGATAGCACAATCTCCCTGGGGCCCTGCCCGCCTCCAGGCCCCTCCCTCCCTAGGCCCTGCCCGGCAAGAGGGGGGTCCTGCAGCAGGAGGGGCCGGAGCCTGCCCGGCTGCTGCCCATCCTGCCTGGGCATCCCTGGGTCTGGGGACCGCCCCAGGCCATGCTTGCTGTAACCCTGCCCCTGCCCCCTCTGCCCCTGCATGTGGGTGCCCCCCGCCCCCTGTCGTGGGGTCTGTGTAGCATTCACTCTAGAAATAGTCTTCCTGCAATAAAGAAGTGGATCCTGCATTCCCCACCCGTGCGCCTTCTTTAAGGTGGGGGGACAGCGTGCTGCCTGCAAAGAGTGCGGGAGGTGAAGGATGGGGAGGTGAGGGATGAGGGTGAGGGATGGAGGAGGTGAGAGATGAGGGATGGAGGAGGTGAGGGATGAGGGATGGGGGAGGTGAG